CAGATTAGTCACAGAAATTTTATATCATATTCATTACCCCATTTTGTCTGCCAACTAAAAACAATAAAAAAACAAATTTATTTTTTCAGGGAGGATGCTCCTCCAGGAGATACTGGACTGTAGCCCTTATTATCTCAGCATTGCCTATGCTGTCTGGGACCCATGGGGGCTCTAGTCTGACAACATTTGGACAGTGAAGAATATTCTTAGCCTCCAAAAAACATGTTCCAAGATGAAGCTCTGGGGAATATTAGCTCAAATTAAGTTTTGAGGTGACATCATAGAGGGAACCAAAAATAGAAAGGATGTTTACTGGTTGTATTCTGTCAGGGTGTTACAGATCTTCAAACAACAACAAAAGCAGTCATCATAACCTTGGAACAACAGAGACCACAGAACGGTCGAAGTTTGAGTCAGGAAATTGTGAAACAATACCTGCCCCAAGAGGCTGCTGGAGACATGAATAGCACACAGTATGTATTTTAATCTAGGGTTACGTACACAAGAGGGCTTTTAAAACTGAAATAAGAAGAAAACATTTTTCTTCTCTGGTTCTTGTTTCTATTTCCTGCCAAAAATATTTGACACCTGTACTATTAAATTTTAGTTTAATTTTACTACTGAAATCTTATCAGAGAAATCTAATGAAAAATGGCTACTAAATAAAATGCTATATGGGAACTGGAAAGGGGCATAGTGTCAATTAAAAGGAATGGTTTTCTGAAGAGTGTAATTGTGGCAGATGGCAGGAAAATATTACCTTAGTTCACCAAAAATATGAACATATTCTATTAGTCGCCCAAGAAGTAAATAAAAGCAAGTGTTTCGTTAACACTGTGGCCCTGTCTTTATTTCATCATTATAAGTTTAATTCCGAATGTTCTAAACTGTGTGACATATGGTCCAGCTTGTACCTTGGAAAACTTTTAAGGATCATGCTAAACACAACATCATTCACACATTTAGCAGCAAGAAAATTATAGGCACAAGACACCCATTCCAAGGTGAAACTTTCATATAGATGGCAGGTAAGTGTTTTTAATTTTCCCCCATTTCTAAGGTATTCTCAACCTGGATGAAAGCCCTATGCCTAAATAGGAAATATTAAGTCAACCCCATTATGCAAGTGTCATTCATTCAAGAGTCTATTAGAGTCTATTAGACTCACATACTGCATTCCCCACTATGTACTCACAGTAACATCTAAAAGACTGTCCTTGAATTGAATCTTGTTTGTACATACACAAAGCTGTACTGGTTCTCAAAGCAGAAATTTAAGGAAATGACCAAATCATTCAGGATGGTGATGGCAGTTAACTCTTTGTTTAACTAGAGGTAATTATTTTTTTCTGCTCTGATGATCAACTGCACGAAAGCCAAAGTTAACTTGTTTTTTCAGTTTTAGTATTTTTCTTCTTCCTTTTGAAAGGGTTTGGAAATAACTTCTTTGTTGCAGGCAGTGAGTCCAGAAAGATATATAAGGAAGATGTTCAGTTATACGTATTGATGGTGAATGCTGTGCTCTTTATGATTCATGTTGTGTTCAATCCAGTGAACTATTTTCCCAGAAGGATGCTCTACACCAGTTTCTCAAACTGCAGTTCTCCAGAAGTTTTGGATTTCAGCTCCCACAATTCCTAGCAGCTGGTAACCTGACTGGGATTTCTGAGAGCTGAAGTCCAAAACACATGGAGGAGCAGAGTTTGAGATACACTACTGTACACAATTATTTTGCATTACAATGTCTCCAGGCACAGAGACCTTCTGTTGATGCCCTTCTCTGTGTCCATACCAGGACTTTGAAATTTTATTTTTTGTATCACAGATCCCAGATCCAAAATGGCCAGTGAATTTCAGTAAGTTTGTGGAAGTTGTTCAATGAATCTTCAAAACAACATGTCAAAAGTACCTGGGGGCCACAAACCAATTTCCCCTGACAGCCTCTGGTGGGCCACCCCATCTTCCCTGTAAGCCCAGATACCTATGTTCCATTCTCCATTACATCTTAAAATGGCTATAGGAAATGAAGTTGAAGAAAATGGGGGCATCTGGGGGTAGGATAAGGTTCTGAAGAACTTGTGAGTGCAAGCATTTTGACAGGTTTTGTGCATTTGTGGATCTTTCTGCACGATTTGGTGGCAAAATTGCCTGAACATTTCAAAAAATGGTTGGTGGCTTTGGGGAACCCAAAAGTGGGCTCTAGGCATGTCCATGATTAAGTCAAATCCTTTACTCAATGATGGTTCCACTTGTCATTTTGCTCAATGCAAGTTCTACTTGCCACTAGATACAAGTACTCACAAAGCACAGTCACATTGCTATATGCAGGTTATAGGCAATATAATTCTTACCAAGGTCTAAAATAAGAATGAAGCTAATCAATTCCCTCACTGTTTTTTGACAGAATTCTCAATCTGGACAACCTGTTTAAAGTATTCATAGAATCATAGAGTTGGAAGTGACCACATGAGCCATCTAGTCCAACCCCCTCTCATGCAGGAAACACTTTGGACAGATGGCTATCCAGCCTCTGTTTAAAAGCCTCAAAGAAGAGCTTCCATCACACCCTGAGGCGAATAGTCCCACTGTTTGCTCTTATAGGAAGTTCTTCAAAATGTTCAGGTGGAATCTAGTGTGCAAGTAATTGCATTTAAGTCATGGAACAATAGGAGAGGCTCATAAATATGTAACTTTCATGTCTGAAAGATACCAATTTTGTGATTTATGAGCCTATCACAAAGGTTTCACCAATGATCAGTGTGGCAAATCTGTTGCCTCGCACACCACCCCCTTGAGCCAACGCTTCTCCCATCACATGTGGGAAGTGTAGCCCTCATGGTTAGGATCTGTGCTGGATCCACTGGAGCCAGCACAACACGGGCAAGCTCCTGTATTGGGAAGGACGCATCATAAGACAAGGCCTTGCCTGAAGACCAGTGACATCATGGGATGGGCAGCATAACCATCTGTTGCTGGACTGGCAGGGAAGCATCCTAGGAAGCTTCCTTTGCCCCCCATGTGATGAGGCCTTTATACCTCTATATTTCTTACCAGAAAGTATGTTTAGGAAAAACTTGCATAAAGTGTGTAAATAAAAATGTGCAAGGCACTGGGAGAAGACATTCAACAAATATCCAGTGATTGTATGGATTAAAATACTTCATGTCTCACTGCAACCCTGTAATGCAGCTAACAGTGTGTGAGGGAAAGGTCAAGGCTTGTTTGAAGTCACTGAATAAATCAAAGACGCTTGAGTCTTGCTGACTCACTGTCTTCCAACAGAGCAATTCACTTTATACAATAGTTAACCATCTGAAAGGATGCATGAGCATTATGTGTGTGACATTTCACATTTGTACATCCCTACCTCAAAGCAGGGCTTAACAACATATTTCCAAATGATAAAGATACCTCCAGGCTAACTAAAATTTAAAACATACACAGTGTACAAGTAATTCTGAATTATTAGATAAGGCTGAAAGGGAAATATCTGCTAAGTGTCCCCTTGAGTAACTGGGCAGGAAAACATACCCCTCACCAGTTAAGATACTTCCTGCTAACGTAGACAGCTAAAATTTGGCAGAATACCAAAGGAAAGCAATATTTGAGGAATCCGATCTTTGTGAATTCCTGTCTTATTATTAGCTTTGTTTATATTTCCCCTTTCCCCCAAAAGGTGATAGATGACCATCTGTTAGGGGTGCTCTGATTGTGCTTTTCCTGCAATGCAGGGGGTTGAACTACATGGCCCATGTGGTCTCTTCCAACTCTGTGATTCTATGATGAGATGAAATAACTTGAACTGTGCCTCGCTGACTAACCTTTGGATCTCAAACTACCTATTTTCTGGATTTAATAGTTCTCTAGATGTTGTGATGCAGTTTCCAACACCTTAAAATTAAAATATATATCTACTAGATATTACCTAGACATGTGTGAAAAACAGGCATTTAATTCTATGTATTAAGTATTCAAAGATATTTTCAAATTACAAATTAATGCAAAAACATAGTAGAATTGTGGATGGAAAGCTAAAAAAGTGACACAGACTGAAAATAAAAAGATTTGTCAATTTGTTGTCCATGAAATACTGATTGCATTGCACAGAACCCAGGATCCTACTCACTGTATTACCTAGGATCTTATTCTCAGCCTAAGAACCCCGCCTGGTTTGGGAGAAGCAAAGGATGGAAGAGCATTATTTCACTTACAGATTAATTTAGTTATTTCCATAGCTTGTTCATAATAACCTAGATCCTTGATCACAATTTCATGTGAACATGTCAGTGATTACTAACAAAGTCCAAAAAGGGAATATTTTAATCCTGGTAATGGGCATCTATTTGACGAGACAGTCATTATTTCATCTGAAAGTTCATGCTGAATTTAATTGGTCTGGATTGTCAGGAAATGAAACCTCTGCTCTTTATTAACAGTCACCTGCCTATGAATTGCTAGAGAGGAACCAACACGAAGAAATTTTGTCTTTCCAGATTTTGTATTTCCACATTTCCAGCTGTGGTTATTCTTGTTGGTGAATTTTAGGAATTACAATCCAAAAAGTAACATTTCCAGGTTCTGGTGGAAACCAATGTATAACAAAAGCTTGGCCCTAAGACAATAAAACTGTTAGAAGGAATATTAATAGTTCTTGTCCAACATTTTTTTTCTATAGCAGGCAAGTAGATGGTTCTGGATGAACAAAAACAAAGCTTACAAAGACACAAGGCTTTTGTTGTTGTATGCTATGTATGTTTTTGTTATGTCATTATATACTAGAGAGGCTATGTTTAGCCACCATGACTATTACAGTTTCATCCATGTGATCCTCTTTAAGGAGTCCCAAATATATCATAAATCACACCTTGGTTGCCTTGCAGTTTTCTATTACATTGCTTTGCTGCAATGAAAATTAACTGCCAAGGAAAACAAGCTACAGATTAACATTTGATCAAAATTTATCACACTACACAGAGCAGCGAAAAAGTGAATTTCCATACCTAATCTGTTTGATGGATTCCTCTTAAAAAGGGCTCGCAGCAAACTCTGAGCTTCTGTGCTCAAAAATTGTGGCATTCCTAACTTGGCTCTGTGAAAAAACAGAACATTTGAATATAGGAAGAAAAATTAGCATACACATTTAGCAGAAGAAATGACGACAGATGTGCAAAAGAAACAAATGTGGTTCTCAAAGGAATTTTGAGGCATATTCAATACAGATGATTCCATGACCATGACTTTACTTAGCATTGCTTTCTTTCTGAAAAGTCTGGTTATTCTCCCCCATGATGGCAACATGGTCAGATCATTCCATTTGACAGAAGGGACGACAAGAGCACAAGTTGCCATGTTTTGCTAGTGACTTCATAACAGGGATATATGATTTGAAATGTTTCCATCAAAATCCAATTTGCTGTACAGTAGCATGTTTAGGACAGGGCTCTTGTATCCTGAACAATGGTGTTGCGGAAGGACTTGAAGCAGATAGAGCTTGCCAGTTGAAATGTCCTTTTTCACCCAGCTATGAAAGGGACAGAAGATATGTTCTCTCCATCATGTAGCCACCCTATTTTGGAGATCGTAGCAGAGGCACTGCTGTATGTTACTGCAGAGCTTACCAGAGCTTTCCAAACTGTGTCGTGACACATTAGTGTGTCATCTGCAGTGTGTAGGTGTGTCGCATGAACATAATGAGAAAGGACAAAAATCTTGGAAATGTATGTCAACTTACACATCTTGTTTTTTAAAAAATATAAATGTTGTGTCCCCATACATTTTGGTATTTTAGTTTATGTATGTGTCCATATCTCTTCTCACGGGTTAACTTCTGGTTTGTTAGAGAGTGAATTACTGTGTACCAAATTATGCATGTCTAAAAAGTGCATTCCCAACATTATATGCTTGAAAAGCTCTGGTCTAAAGCTTAAACAGTGTGTGTGTGTGTGTAATTATATATACCAGAGTCCTCCAGTCACTGTAGCCAGAGGTTTACAAGATGGAGGAAATGTATTGGTATTTGCTACTCACTTTAGAATGAGAGCCATTGTCTCCTTTCTGTCTTTTCCTTGGAATGGTAATGATCCTGTCAACATTTCAAACTGCAAATAAAGGACAGAATAGGCTAAGAAGTTAAGAATATAAGCAGCACAAGTACATATATTCTGAGCTGTTTTCTCCCCAAAACTATTTGTTGTTCAGTTCATTCCCGCTACAAAATTAGCCTTTTGTTGGATGTACAGGTGTGCAAAAGAGTGGGCTCATGTTTAAAACAGGATATTTGAGTAGGTGTGCTTTTGTTGTGTGAATCAGCAGGGTAGTTATGTTTTTAGAAGTATTTAAGGCAATCTCTCCATACGGAGCACCCTCTGGATGTGTAGGACTACAACTCATAACAGGTTTGGATAATGAGGCAATAGCTATGCAGTCTGGTGGGTAATAGCAGTTGTAATCCAAACCATGCTGATTTAGAACTAGAAGCATAGTAAACACACAAAGATCAAAATACAATAGCAAGTGGTTCTATACAAATCCCACTGAAAGAAACAGGGCCACAAAAATATTTTTGTAACTACATATGTGCTACCTGCAAGAGAACTCTAGTAATATTTCTGGTAAAATGAATTAAGGACAAGAACAGAAAAGCATCAACGCAAATCATATGTACATTGTAAGTCTTTCTCATTTAGTGCTGAAACCAGTGATGATGGCATAGGAGGAAATAAATGAAGCAATAATTAAAGCAGGTTTTGGTCTATAAAACTATCAATGAGTTGAAGTAGAATATCTTACATATCAGCCTCCATATCTTAAGATCACCAGTGGAGGCCTTATTACATGTTCTACCATCCCATTAGGCTAGGCTAGGCTAGCAGGACTGTGGAACTCCCTACAGGAACTCATGGTGGCACCTGCAAGAAGTGAACACTGATATTCCATTTGAATTTTAGTTCTTAAACTAAAAGGTATATGCTCTGGCTATTTTTTAAAATTGCTCATAATTGTTTTCTATTTGAACTATTTTAAAGGAGTTTTTGAGTGTTTAAAATTGATATTTAATTCTATTATCCACAGATTTGATATCTACACTTCAAACAAATTCCCCCCAGAAGTGTTTATGGGCCTCTCAAGGCCCTCCAGCGCAATTCTATGGAATGTGTCATTTGCAGAAACAGTGGTCAAATCATTTATTTATTGTGGCATCTATTTTTTTGACCCATTGCTCTTCGTAGGATCTAAGGATGATGCTCAATGTATTGATAAATAATGTTTGAAGTGTCAGTCTCCCAAAGAAGTTACTTTATTCTCCACTTAAGAATGGAAAACAGAATGTCAGTGAACATCCAAAGAGACTTGAAGATGGGCTTAAAGCTGACCTTTAAAAACGTAGTATAAACAGCAAGAACTGGGACGTCCTGGCACTTGAGCATTATAACTGGAGGTTAGGTGTTATCAATGGTGTTATGGACTTTGAAGAGAAATGAATACAGGGCAAAACAAACAAATGCTTGTCGTGACTGCCTTCCACTTGGAAATCAATGTCCTCAATGTGAAAGATCATGTGGATATAGAATAGGTCTTCACAGTAATTTATGGTTCCACTGCTAACAGTTTGGAAGACACTCACACTCATGCAAAAGTGATCGCTCATGATGATTATCCATTATGCATTATCATGGGGACCCTGGTAAGTCAAGTTGCCATAAAGAAATATTAAAGGCATTAGAGGTATTAAAATAATAAATGTACCACATGGCAACTGTGAATGTAAAGAACTCAGTATGAAAGAAATAATAATTGCTTTAAAGAGTTCAGGGAAACTAAGAATGACAATGCCCATTGGGTGGCATGCTTAGTATCTTAGTCATGATGCTTGACTTCAGAGGGTAATGCTGGAAATTTTCACATGTTGATAAACTAGAAAGAAGGAAATGGTCTGTTAAAGAAGAGGAAGCATCAAAAACTGCTTACATCTAAAACAGAATCCCAGCGTGAAAAGGATGTCTGTCTGACTCAATGCCCATTTCTATGACTTGTTGTATGAGCTGTTTTCTTTCAAACAGTGCACCAACTGGCCCTTTTGACCAGTACTATTTTGCAAAGGGATTCATAAAGTGGTAAACAATGCACTGTGTCTCCTTGATATTAACAAGGAAGATGTCTTCACAGAAGAAAAGAACTCCCCAGTCTCTCTCATCAGCCCAGCCCAGTCCTATAAGATATCAACAGGCATGTCACCAAACATTTGATTGAGAACTCTTTTCTCTTATTCCTTAACCCTCAGAATACAATATCTTTTCATTACCTAGTTCTCTAGATATACTTTCTAGGTTAGACTTGATCAATGCTGTGCTAACATCAGTTCTGCTTTGATTGGAACAAATTATAATTAGGTACTAAAACTAATTTACATCTCATGTTTCATTTTGGTAAATGAGAGTAATGTTTTACATTTTACATCTGCTTCTGTGGATAAATTGCTTTCTAAAAAGCTGTACAATAAAAAAAATTCAAGAAACATCACACAAGTTCCAAAGAAAAGGGTTTTTTTACTTTATTACTTTATTAAAATGAATAGAAAAGAGCTATTCATTTATATCAGTAGCTCTTTGGTCTTCAGTATGTTTTGGATGTCAACTCCCTAGCCAGCATCAGCAATGGTCACATATTCAGGGAGTTGATATGCAAAATACCTGGAGGGCCAAAGAAAGAATGATTTATAGCAGAGTGAGTTTTTTTTATTACTATGGCATTGAATACTTGCCTTTTTGTATGTAAACCACTCTGAGTCCCTTCAGGGAAAGAGCGTGGTCTAAAAAGAAAGTATGTATGTATGTATGTATGTATGTAATTTCCCACAACACTGTCTATATAGTAATAACAGGGTGGGTGCAAATAAATCATAAATGGAAGAATAGAATTAAGGATCCGGGCCAAGGATCTAGTTGCCTAGCTAGTAGAGTAGAGTCTCGCTCATCCAACCTTCGCTCATCTAACATTCAGTATTATCCAATGCAGTCTGCCTCCCACCGGGATCCACAGCTGTTTCAATACATTGTGATGTTTTGGTGCTACATTTGTAAATACAGTAATTACTTCATAACGTTACTGTGTATTGAACTGCTTTGCTTGTCAGTATGTTGTAAAACATGTTTGGTGCTTAATTTGTAAAATCATAATGTAATTTGGTGTTTAATAGGCTTTCCCTTAATCCCTCCTTATTATCCAATGTTTTCACCAACACTTATCCAACATTTACATTTTAAAATTAAATACATAATTCATATAACATATACATATATAATTAAATTACAACTTTTCTCCAGTTAAATTAAGAGTGAAAGTATAGCTCTTTAAATTTGGTACAGGACTATCTGACATTGTTTCAAGTCACTTTGGTTAACCAAAAGAGGACAACACAACTCCTGACTGATACTTTTAAAGGTCACATTACACCCTGCTGTTTAACGGTGAAGGTGATGGTCAACAAATCTAGTAAGATTCACACAGGAAAAAGGAATGGGAATGAAGTTTCGTCTAATAAATACAGAAGAGGAAGGAAGACCAGTGAGGCACAAAGTACACAGTAACTTGCAAGTGACAGGTCAAAGCACTGTGCCATTTCAAAAGGGTACTTCATGGCTCACATAAGAGAAAAGGTGAAGCAGCAAAAGAAGCTTCAAGTACCACCAAAAATGTGATGCAGCTTCATTATTACTAAAAGATCATTATATTCTTCCACTTTTAAAAGAAAAAAGTAGAGGACAATATTTATTTATTTACATTATTTTTTTTACATTATTTCTATCCTGCCCATTTCAGCCCGAAGGCGACTCAGGGCGGTATACACAGTCAGCACAATTCAATGCTGAAACAAAATACATACATTGATAAAGCAAAAACATCAAGTGCAATTAAACATAAACGACAGTGCATAATAAACAATTTAAAAAGAAACTATGTCCTCTCATTCAAATCTTCATCCATTACATTGTCTTGGCCGTTCCTGGGTCAATTTCCAACTCTACTTTGTCTGTTTACTCCAGGGTTCCGAATGCTTGCTCAAAGAGCCAAGTTTTTACCCTTTGAATTGTTTATGTGATTAGTTGTGTGCAATTCTAAATATTACATTTAAGGAGTGCTGCTGTTGATTAAGCTCACTCCTCTGAAAAAGGGTGTTCTTGAATATATGCCCTAGTGAACCTGTATTCAGAAGACAGAGGTCCCATTTACACTGATTATTTAATACAGTTCAAAGCTAGTTCCAAACTGTGGTGGCCAGACAGCAAGTTCTCACAAAAGCATACAAAAGAAAAGCCTCTGTGGTTTCTGAAATTACTATCTGGGCCACAACTGGTTCCAGGATTTCTGTGTAATTATCTGCACAGTGAAATCACCTTTTTCAATATCACTTTGAAACTGCATTAAATGGTCAGTGTAGATGTGGCCAGAGTGGTTCAGCCTCCTCTGGCAGAAGACGCTAAAAAGTGTAGAAGCTGACGAGGTGCTGGCAAACAACTTGTGGATGCCACACAGGATGCTTTCTGTCCATGGTGCTTAAATGCAACTGAGAACATTGTCTTATTGTCAAATGAAATTGAGATTTATTTCTAATCTAGTCAGTCTCTGTCCGTGCAATGGGTTCTTTCTTGTCTTTCCCCTGTGTGAATGTCCAATTTCAGAGTCATAATCAAAAATGGTTGTCTGGTGCTAACAGAGGTTGCATCCTTTAATCCATGGCCTATGATGCACAAGCCCTGCTCCAAACCAACAGCCCACTTTCTCCAGAAGACTAATTGATTCTTTTCTACGTCAGGAACTCTGTTTTGCTTCCCTGTATAGCCATGCCTCCACTGTCTGAACATCCAGATTCAGAATATCTGGATAACTATTTCTTAATTCCGAGAAGACCAAGAAAAGACAACTTAATCTCCCTGTCTCTTGACCTATCTTTTGGCATTAACTTATTTGGCTTTTCTGTTTCCTAGCAACAGCATGTTATGGATTAAGAGACTCTTCCTCTCTAATGAATTGCAGCTAGCAGCAAAAGCAGAAATACTTTCTCTTCCACTACTCTGAACAGGATGAAGTCTTAAGAAGTATACAATCATAATGTCTCTGTAGACTGCTTCAGCTGAGAAGAGCACAATGGGAAAATAAGGGAGTGAAAGAAGTTATCTTATGAGAAGAAAGGAAAACCCCATGGTATAAGAAATCCTTTGACTGGAGAATCAGAAGTAGAGAACTGGCATTTATTGAGCTGGGGAAAACTCCAAGTTTTGATAGGGAAAATTCAAGGAGACCTAGAAATGACAAATAAAAACCCTGAAAGAATTCCCTTGGAGATTTGTTCAAATGACATCTTCCTGTGTGAAGTATACAACACTTGAGCAGGACTGTTACTGACTGGGGAATCTTGGAAGTCTATCAAACAAACAATCAACATGATGGCAAACAACAACAAAGATATGGATGTTGTTTATCATACATGCCTTGATGGTAGACCTCTGATCTGAGAGCTAGAATAGTGAACAAAAGATTCACAGATACCAACAACTAGCATCTCCCAAGCTCCCTGCACTCATTTTATGGTTACACACTGTATGAACTTCTAGAGAATCACTGTCAACTATATGCATGTGCACTGAAGTGTGGTATTGTCTGCTGTGGGGAGCAAAAGTGATGAAATACTTTCTTGGAGAAAATGGTTTAGACATGTCCCCAAAGGAAATGTTTACAACTTTTGGATGAACATTTTGTGTTGCTCCTATCCCTATGGACAATCTGCCCCCCCTTCCCCCCCTTTTATTAGAAAACTTTCATCTGAAGATAGCTGATTTACCCTGGACTCAACCTCTGCCAGATCTGGAAAGAAAGCTGTCAGGCACTGACAGGCATCAGCATTTGAGAGCGGGAGAAGAGCTATGTAAAAATATTTTTAAGGTCGCTCTGCTCATTCACATAAAAGGACTGTGTTAGCATAAGCTTTCTTGGAGTAGAACTACCCAACATTCAAAACCACCTTCTTTCTTTGCAAGTCTCTTATGTAAATTCCTTAAGAAAAAAAGGATGCCTCATCATTCCCACTGGATTAATTATAACAGATAAACCACATACTTCTATTTATCTGCCATCTAATCCCTCTGCCCCTTTGCTGTCTGACAGTATTCTTCCAAAGCTTTTAGTTTCTTCTTTGGGAGTTATTTCCAAGAATCTTTCCAACTAAATAATGCTGAAATGTAGTTATTCTACTGTATCTGCTAAAACACCTCAAATAGGCATTATACCATGCGGATTCAGAATTCCCTTACCTGGAATTTTCAAATCCAAAATACCCCAGAATCCAAAATTGCCCACATGAATGGTTGTATAAAATTACCATTATGATGTGTGACAAGGTGTACATGAAACCTAAATGAACTTTGTATTCTGACTTAAGTTCCATCTCTAAGACATCTCATTATGTAGGAATATGCAAATACAGATATTCCAAAATCTGGGAGTTAGGGAAAAATTGAAAACACTTCTGGTCCTAAAGATTTCAAATAAGGGATGCTACACCTATACTAACATATTGAAAACACAAAGAAGAGGAAAAACAATAACATCTGGAAAACATAAAATCAAGCATACATATTGACACAGTATTCTTCACTGTACACTGTTTGGAGATGATGAGAAGCATTTCAGTAAGACAACACCATAGGACCCTGGATGGAAGTTGATGTAGATCCATCTTAATAGGATGACTGACCACTGTAGTTTTATATATAGTGTTTTTAAAGTTGTTTTTGTAATTGTGATATATGATATTTTAATGAGTGTATATGTTTTTATGGCTGGAAACTGGGCTGAGTCCCTCAATGAGGTTGAGAAGCTCGGTATAAAAAACTGTGAAATAAATAAATAAATAAATAAATAAATAACTGAAGATTCCCAACTCTTATTTTAAGAATAGCTTCCAAGTTACTTACTTAGTCTTTCAGGAAGGGGTTCAGTCCTCACTTTCTCATTTTATATTTTGTGTGCTACTTCTCATTTTATGTTTATGGCACAACAGTTTTCCTGCATTTCATTTCTTCTCTATCCAAAAACCTCTGGAAATACCACTGAAAACATTTAAGGAACTAGTCTAGTTTTGCCTTTCCTACCAATCAGTTTTTGTTTTGAGACTTTTTCCGAACAGATACTTGCACACCATACAGAAAAGTTTTCGGAAATGACAACTTCAATCTTTTTTGCAGACACAATGTGTCTCCTCTATTTTGCTAAGTGGCTGCAGACAGGCATGTAGCCGGGGGGGGGGGGGGGGGGGGGGGGGGGGGGTGCTTGAGGGGCTTCAGCCCCCCCCCCAAATTCTCAGGGTGGTTTGTGAGAAGGCCTTACTGGTACATTATTTAAACTGTTATGTTTATTCATATCATGATCTGATCACCATGCTCAATATATCCCATATGCATGGGGGTATTGGGGTAATGATACAAAAGGTTTGCTAGGGTAGACCCTCTTTCACTCAGACTCAGCCCCCCCCCCCCAATCAAACTCAGCCCCTCCTGAAACAAAATCCTGGCTATGGGCCTGGCTGCAGAATACCACATGGAAATAAGAACAATTGTTTAACTTCTTCCAGAGCTGCTTTACACGGTTGGATCAAGATATAGTTAGAATATGACAGAACTGTTAATATTTAATTACGATATTTTTCAATTGTAAGATGCCATTGATTGCATCTTACAATTGAAAAAGATGCACACTAATTTCAGTTGTACTACTGGTAAAAATACAAGTGTATCTGTGCTTCTAAAACACACTCCATGTTTAACTATGTTTATATAGGGAGGAAGGTGCATCTTAGAATGGAAGAAATACAATATTACATTCTTAAAGATGTGGAAGAATCATTCCCCCAGGTTTTCTCCTCATTCTAGAGAAAACAAATATTTTTATGAATTTTCCATTTGCATGTTCATGTTTTGGGAAATTATTCTATGCAGAAATTCATATGATTTGTGTGTGTGTGTGTGTGTGTGTGTGTGAGAGAGAGAGAGAGAGAGAGAGAGAGCGATAATAGAAATGTTTTGCAAGGGAAAAAGAGAAAAAAAATTGTCTTCAGGCAGCTACATTTGGGTTTTGTATAAGAATGTGGTCTCTATGTAGAAAAAATAAAACAAGTAAAATCCCGTACAACAAAAATCCTGCGCAGAAAACAGCAATCTTGTTCAACAAAACCGTGCATGCTTCTTTGTGTTTTGTGGTACAAGATTGCTGTTTTGTTTGCAGAACACCACCAACCTGCACAAAAAATGTATGGCTGTCTGGAAACCTTTGTTGATATAGTACTTGTAGTAGTAGTAGTAGTAGTAGTAGTAATTGTATAGGAACCCCCCTCCCCAATTTCTCATGCAAAAATGGTATGTATTTCTATGCAGTACATTTTCCCAAAATACTTCAGGATGTGCAAATATTGAGTGTCACTACTGCATTATCTTGGTTTTGCAAGAATCCAGAAAGCTATTTTTCAGCTAGAAAGTGAATAACATTCTTTCCTTCTACAGAGTTGAAACCTACAGTAGCATCACTAAAACCAATGCATTCTGGGAAATGTAGTTTGGGGCAGGACCTTTTGAATTCTCTGCCACAAGGAGCCTCGCCTTCCCAAACTATAATATTTATTTATTTGATCAGTTATATGACCATTTCAAAATAGAACATCTAAAACCAATGCAATTTTTATAGCTATTCATAACTACATTAAGTCTAAATTATTTCCTTGAGCCTACTCTAAGGAGCACTATGTCTGTCTGGATCCAACCTAAGTAATTACCTATGGGACAGATACTTTTTACTCAAATAGTCAAGGAAGCTGAATTTGCAAGTATGGTTCTTAGAAATAACTACATAACTTTCTTATGTGAATTATGATAGCCACAACCAAAGAATCCATCAACACAAACAATTTCAAAAACAATCAGCCTGCCATTACCATGAGGACACCAAATGACCACCAGTCTGCACTTTGTGTGTGTCCTCGTCGGTTGACCACCTCTGGGGCCATGTACTCTATCGTCCCACAGAACGAATATGCTCTCTTATCATGGTCAATGGCTTCCTTGCTGAGGCCAAAATCTAGAGAAAGACAAAGGAAAAAATGATATGTAGTCTAAGAACAATTATAGTCGCTTTGAATAACTGAGTGAATCCATTTATTTATTTATTTATTTATTTATATACTGTATTTGGATACTGCCTTTCTCAGCCTGTAGGCGATATATTTAGGAAATAAGGAGTGCAATCCTAATTTTCCAAGTTTGATTTCATTGAAATTCTAGTGTTTTCATCATCACCATCATTTCTTTCCTGTTTCTATATATATTTCTTTTCCTCTTGTCCCCACATTTCTCTGTATTTTGCACACATTTCAAAAGTCTGCATTTCTGAATACACATATCTATTGGCTGAATGACATTTTAGAATTACAGGTAGTCCGCAAGTTACAAACAAGATAGTTTCTGTAGGTTTGTTCTCAAGCTGAATTCGTTTGTAAGTCAGAACAGGTACATTTTTTAAGTGTAGCTCCAGCCAAATATCTACACAAATAAGTTTTGGATAGCACCACACCCCTGTAGTGTTTGTCTTGCTTTCTGTGTCTCTGTTCAGAAAAAATTGCCTTACTTTCTGTCTCTCTGATAATTGAATTTTTAAAAATTTAGTTTGCTGTGGAAACAAAGATTGGTGAGAAAGTGTCAGTGGAGGCACCTTTTCCCATGAATCTGCTTTTCAGGAGTAAATTTCCCCTCTTAGGGTTTGATTTCTCCCACTCCCTGATGTCTCACCCTAATTCTTAACTATGAGTTGTTTGTAAGTCGGATGTTTGTAACCTGGGGACTGCCTCAATAGGCAGTTCTAGTTAAACTTTTTTTTGAAACAGTTGCATATTATCAGACTAATTTTATTTCATTAAATGCATCAAAAGCTCCGACCATAAAAATGCATCTGGTCTTCCTTCCAAGAGTGAAAAGTACAAACTGGGTAAATCTGCAAAGGAAACCCTAGAATTACAACTCTGGAGACCAGGATATGATTCTTAACTGTAGAAACCTCCAGCTCATGTTCGGTGAGTCACAAAATCTTGGCCTCAGAAAATACTGTGATAGGTTCATCTTAGGATTCCCATAGGTTGGAAATGACTTGAGAGCACACAACAGCAAATAGCAGAAGTCTTTCCCATCCATGAAAGGCAAAATGGGATGTATCTCATTGTAGACAGTACTGCAGCCTTAAACTATGTATAATATCAAGTATTTAACATGTAGTTTAAGAAGGGTGTAATCTAGATTGCCATATGTGAGGGAGGCTTACTTTTTACCTTCCTGCACTGCAAAATCAAAAATTACCCCTAGACTCCAAATTGAGTAAGAGTTGGTAGAAAATTTACATTAATGCTCTAAAATGGCAATAATTTTAGTGCATAATACTGAAGAAGTGACACTGAAGAAGTTGTTGGGTCAACTACGTAATGCAGCTTGGAGTTCAAGGCCAGTGTTGTTTTTCATTAAGAGACCTGGGGCAGATATCAGTAGCAGAACTTGGGAACAGTCAATTTTGGAGTACATCTCCAAGAATCCTGTAGGCAGCATGACCATTTCCAGTTGGCTTGAGAATTTTGTAGTCCAAAAGTACATTTTCTGGAGTTTGAGGATCGGTGAACCCCAACACACACATGCTGATTTTGGCTCTGCAGGGAGAAATGATGAATAGGATATAGTGCAGGACAGTTGTGAGGGATATATGGTACACACCTGTGATCTTAATGTGTCCTTCTTCATCTAGAAGGATGCTGAAAGGAAATACAATAGAAAGCTTAGTTCAAATGCAAAATCATATTGAACAAAGGTAAGGGTCCTATAAATGGCACATAGAACTCCTAAATTATTTTAAAAGCTAATTCAGTGTGAACAAACTCAAATTCTTTCTTCAATTTTATATCTTCGTGTATCACCTGCAGTAGTTTCTTCACGCCTTCCTTCTTAAGCTCTCATCCCACAGCAGTATAAGAAGAGCTGTGTGTTTCCTCCACCCCAAGAATATTACTGTTTAAAAATAAAATACTTCACAAGCTTGCACAAAGCTGTCACTCACACATTGTTGTCTTTTGCAGTGAAATGTAACCTGAAAGGAAATGATCTCCCGGAGAACACTTGTGGGTTGGGAACAGACTGTCATTGAGCATAATTAAATGAATAATAAATATTGACACTTGTCACTATTATTATTCAAAAATATCCATATCTTCCCCCTTCCTCTGTTGTTTTTTGACAATACTTGCTTATATGAATCATAGTTGCACCATTTATGTGCATGCAATTCTTGCTTCCCAACATTTAGGGAAAGAATTCGGTTCTTCTCCTCCTGCCTCATCATCATCATTATATTATTACTATATTTATTTATATCCTGCTTTCCTCTCTTAAAATGAAATTCAAAGTGGCTTGCAACACTAAAAAGTAAAATTTCAAACCTATAACACATAAACATTGACATAGAATTAAACAGAATAATCATCATTTTCAATAGTGGGATTCACTGCCTCAAAATGTGATGGAAACTCCTTCTTTGGAGGTTTTCAAACAGAGGCTAGATGTCAGGGGTACTTTGATTATGTTTTTCCTATATCGCAGGGGGTTGGGCTGAATGTCCCATGTGGTCTCTTCTAATTTTATGATCCCACAATGTCAAAAGAAGCCTCCCACACTTATTTTGTAGCTTCTGACTGCCACTCTGCATGGCCATTCCATGTCTCATGGAGAGTGGCAGAATTAGAGAAGCATTTGGCTGTGTCCCTGTAGCCAGACGTGAAATGATTACAGCACTAAGATGGCTGGAAGGCCTCAGCAGACCTTAGCACTATTATAATCATTTCATATTTGGCTACAGAGAAATAGCCAGATACTTCACTGATCTTGTTCACTCCTCACAAGGCATTGAATGATAAGTCTTGAAGATTGTATATCGCTCTACCTAGCATATGTCCATACACAGAATGACTGCATTACACTGAGTCATACAGAACTGCAGTCACTAATTGTTTGCGGAGATGAAAACTAATTAAAAGTGGATCAGGGATGAGAAAAGCCTGGGATAATCAAGTACCAAAATAAACTTGTGACTCTACCACAAGTACACCTTCATTGCTAGTGGATGCAGTGTTTGGAAAACAATTACATTTTCCCTTGAATGTTATGGGGAGATTACCTCAACTTCTGGGAAAATGTACTATTTTCAAAACAATATCTCCATAGCATGCAGCTATCTTCATGTCTTTCCTAAGAGAATATTTTCTCAGCTTCTGTCCTCCTTTACCCCAGATACACTGTTGCCATTTTTCTCATTTAGATTTGTGAATGAGTGGCAGTTGGGAAGTTTCATTAAGACTTAATACAACTTCTCACTTTGCTATTAGTCTCAGTCTAGACCAATCAATACAACAGAATCAATTTCTGAAACATGGTCAACAACATAATGGACCTATAAATTTTTCCAGCTGATATTGGAAGCTCATAAACCCTATAGCCAATCCTTATGATACAATTGAAAATGTTCAAACTTGTCAGAGAAGTACAGCTTAAGGATTTATGGCAGCAATTTTCAGAGCACATTATGAACCAAGTGACAAAACAGATTACCAAGATCATACTGACTTAGGCACAATCTACTACCAAACAAATCTCAAAGAGAAAATGACAAGATAACACAGTTACTGATTTTATTCACTCAGCTATAACCACTCAAACACATAATCAATACTCTACTGTCTGTTCCATTCAAAAAAATATTGAAAATACAAGTCAAATATCCCTTAACTAAAATACTTGGGGCCAGTAGTGTTTTAGGTTTCAGATTGTTTTTTCTGGATTTGGAATACATGTCTATTCATATACCTACATAAGTGTAAACACGAAAGTCATTTATGTTTCATATAAACCTTGTATACATAGTCTGGAGGCAACTGTATACAACATTTCAAATAACTTTGTGAATGAAACAAAAAATTGTGTACACTGAACCATCAGAAAACAATGGTGTCACTATGTCAACCATCCATGTAGACAATTTTAGATTTGGGGATATTTTGGACTTTGGTATCCTGGATAAGGAATGCTAAACATGTATTTAGAAAACAAAACCAAACCACACATTTTAGAGTTGAGAAACCCTAAAAAGAATCCTGGACACATGAGAATTGTCACAGTTATTATGCACAAAATTCCCGCATGGTTGCTAAGTGCAGAAACAGCAGTTTCTGTACAAGATACAGAATTTTCCAAATGGAAAATAATCTTTCAATGTAAAAATATTAGTTTCTGGGCAGAAAATTTTGTCTGCATTAAAATAATAATTGCGTATTTGTTCTGTGTAAAATGTGCACGTGCAGAGAAAACAACATATCGTCTATAGAAAACAACATTTTTTCATGGCAAATAATATTTCAGTGCAGAAATATTAGTTTCAGCACAGGAAATTTTGGGTTTTATACAGGAAAAAAACAGAGGTAACTCTATTAAAAAATCAATACATGTATATCTGAAGTAACTTACTTTTCTGGTTTCAAATCTCTGTAAATAATGCCAAGACTATGGAGATGATCTAAAGCCAAGGCCAGCTCGGCTAAATAGAACTTAACATCTTCTTCTGTAAACATTACCTGGATAGAAACAGAAAACCACGGTTAATAATATTGAGTGCATAAGAGCAGATTTATATATGTTGGATTTTCACTAGCAACCAGTGTTAATATCTTGGTCCAAAATGCAACTAACAGCAAATTCTAAGGTTGACAACATGAAAGCACAGAGATGGAAATTAGATTGAATTCAATCTGTTTAAAAATACGTTTTTCTTCAATATCAAATCTTGGCTGCTCTCTGATTTCTCATAGAAATGAATTTAACTATAAATCTGGTGCATAGCCTTTATTTTCTGACTCATTCAAAATAGCTTTACTGATAGCCTATTACAATTTAGCTTTATGGAACAACAACAACCAAACAAGGTGATACACTTTTTTCTAAAAATGTACTCAATCACTATTTTCCAACCGAATAAGTTAGAAATCATCAATATTATCTGCAAGATTTCTCATACAATGGAACAAGTGGTAGAGCCACTCAAGAGAGCTTCTTTACTTTGATCTGCAAAGGGTGCAGCAATCCTTTGTGAGCTGGTTCATTATTGAAAAAGCAGTATTTAGGACAAGTGAAAATGTGGGGGTGAAAAATCTGTACAAGAGTATTTTTAAGGAGTCATGACAAGGCAGCTACATTTGAAAATGAAAACCACTAAAAGTGCTGTGAAGTGACTCCTGTCTCAATCTTTCCAATCTGCACTTACCAAGTAGCAATCACTGTGATCAATGGGGATGTGTTTTGTCAGTTGATTGAGAAGCAACTGACTGATGTTTCTACCCCCTCCCATGAGTGATCTGTATTGAGTCAACAGAAGTAGAAATTCTCCTTTGTGCTTAATGTAGCATGGGAGGGGGACAGAAAGCCATCAGTCAGCTGATTGGCAAAGGGGGGACAGACCCCCTAATGTTATCAGCAGTTGCTGTCCGGTAAGCAGGATTTGGTGGACTGTTGTGATCCCTATACATCCTCTAAACTAGGAGCTAAAAAGGCATTTTGGATACAAAAAAATCCCCCTCAAGAGTGAAAAATTCTAGCCAATACATCTGTTATCTCCAAGCAAGATTGTGGCTACTTTTTCTATTAATAAAAGATAGCATGAATGACAGCAAAATGTATGGTTTATACTTTGAAACATGTGCACAATATTTTGGACTCTAAGAGGGTCCACATAGCTTTGAGGACATGGGGCGTGCAGCCACTAACCCTGGCAATCCTCTTGTCTGTGTGGAAGGACTATGAGCCTGTTCTCCACCACCCTACAAGTGTGGAGAGAGCAGCCTATTCTCTAACCCCCTACAAGTGTGGAGAGAGCAATCTTTGTGGGAAGGATTGTAATGTCTTCCCTCTATCCCTCTCCTAACAAGCTTAATATAGATCACCACCCCTTCACTGTTAGCAGCAATTTATGAAATCAGTGAAAAATTGGGGGAGGGGGGGGGGGAAAGATTGGGTCTTTCATGAGATGCTCTACCAAAGACCTTAGGCCACTGCATGTACATCTGAGTTAGGTTTTTTGTCTTTTTGTGTCAGGAATGACTTGAGAAACTGCAAATCACTTCTGGTGTGAGAGAATTGGCCACCTGCAAGGACATTGCCCAGGGGACTCCCGGATGCTTTACCATCCTTGTGGGAGACTTCTCTCATGTCCCCGTATGGGGAGCTGGAGCTGACCGAGGGAGCTCAACCCGCTCTCCTTGGTTTCGAACCACTGATCTGTCGGTCTGAAATCCTGCCAGCATTGCACCACCCAGAGCTCATGAGTCTCATTTCAGATAACATTGTTTTAAAGCATAAACTTTCCATTTGTTCGATAGACTGTGTTATTATACTGCAAGCATGGATATAATGTTTTGTTCCTCAGTATCATTATGGTCTATGATGAATCTTCCTCATGCCAGCAAATGGGCCCCCTACTGTTTTCCTCCTTACTCAAATAACTATTTCTAAACCTAGCAGCCCCTAGGGAACTACTTGAAATCATAATTTGGACATCTTTCTTTTAAGTGTAGCTTAATTAAGCATACTTTCACACTTAATCCTGCATTTCCCAATGGCTCCATCTCTTTTTCCTTTTAGACAGATGGAATGCTATACATGTCCATTTTGGGAATAACTGCAGGGTGATTGCATGTCACATTTTCTTGACCTTGGTCACAGAAGGTATTGAAATTTACAGGAAGAGAGCCAACAAGCAATTTACCTATGGTCAAAACAATTGCTTCTTGGGAAAAGACTTTCAAGCCCCATCTGTTCTGAGGCAAGCAATACACCTGGTTTGATGCTGCTGCCACAGCTGTTCAGGCAGAATTGAAAACTAAGCAGTCATATTTGCTTACCCAGACAGCAAATGTTGGAAAACCACATGCACAGGTAAGAGAAAAGGCAGTGTATATTTACTCCCTGATGCTTACAGCCTGATGATGCTGGTGGTTATATGCCAACATTTTATATGTATTTTTCCTACTAAGTGATAAGGTAGTATTCACTGGAGTGAATGAACATGTTTCTCAGCACTGATGGCTCTTTTTGAAAACCTAGGAAGGAATTTGGAGTAGCATTTTAGCCATGGGAATATAAGTTTCACTTGCACAGGGAAAGGGTTTTCAGAAGCTAACAACATCAAAAATAGCATGTCAGTGTAACCCCTGGTAGCGCAGTGAGTTAAACTGCTGAGCTGCTGAACTTGCTGACCAAAAGGTTGGCGGTTCGAATCGGGGGAGCAGGGTAAGCTCCCACTGTTAGGCCCAGCTTCTGTCAACCTAGCAGTTCGAAAACATGAAAATATGACTAGATTGAGAGGTGGGAAGGTAATGGCACTCCTTGCAGTCATGCTGGCGACATGACCTTGGAGGTATCTATGGACAACACCGGCTCTTCAACTTAGAAATGGAGGTGAGCACCACCCCCCAGATTCAGACACAACTAGACAATGTCAGGGGAAACCTTTACCTTTACTAACCCTAGATGACACAGGGAAAAAATGACAGGGAGAGAGGGAGGTATAGACTTTACTTGCACAGATATAAAAAAAGTGGCTAAGAAGGTGGAGAAAATAAAAAATCTGAACCATAACTCTATAGGCATTTCTCTGGAATGAGTGTTTCCCCATTACACAGAGTCTGCTTTAAGGAATAATCATGTATAGGACTACACAGTTTTTTCTTCTTCTTTAAAAAACCTAAAAACTAATTAACATCTTGTTTTAAGCATTTTTTTCTGCAAAAGGTCAACACCATGGCTAAAATAATTAGAGTGGTATCACCACCTGCTGGTGTTGGAGTTCAGGCATTCATATTTCAGCAGGGAGCAGAATTTTTCAATTGTGGTAGATGCCAGGATATATTTCAGGTATAAAATTACTTCATGGACGAAGAAGAAAGAAGGGCTGTGATGGATGGCCACCTGGCCAATTCTAAGAGAGATATCAAGAGAATTCCTCTCCTCCTTCCAAGCAAGCTGTTAGCAGCAGGAATTACTCCCTTTTCCAACTGCTCTATTCTTCTACAGATGGTGCTTTGATAAGCATGCCCACCTCTTACAATCTTTCTGCCTGCCTACCTACTTTAGTTTATCCTCAGATGGACAATTAGGAAAAACAGGAACTCTTGCAGGAACCCTGATTTGATTTTCACACAGAGAGAAATTATTCTACTAAACTTACCTCTTTGGAAAGTCGGGTGAAAAGATCTCCTCCTCGTAAGAAATCTAGTATAAGATACAGTTTCCCTTCTGTTTGAAATGCTACAGAGGAAAAAAGATGGCAATGTTGGATGTTAAATAATAAAATATGCTACAAAAATGATTACAATGGACCACTGTTGCTATTTATTAGGCGCCATTGCTGATATACATGAAGAAAGGGGAATTGACCCCTATGAGAAAGAAATGAGGGGAAAGAGAAAAGGAATATTGTACCACAAGGAAAGTTTACTGACAGTTCGGCCAACAAAGTGAATAGTGAGGGAACAAAAATGCAAAAACCATGTGCACATTGCACATTCCACAAGTTTGGCGTATTGCAGGGGTGGGGAAACTACAGTAGCCCAAGTTGTTCTAGGTCCCATTTTTGGATTTTTGCCAAAAAGAGCAGAATATTGCCACTAATTGGGGCTGAAATAATAAATCAGGTTCTTGAAATATGTAGAAAATATACTGAGGATAAATGAGTAAAGTCTGTAATTGAACAAGGGATTTAAAACTATACCTAGATAATCTATCAGAGAGTTCCAAAGATAGATATGAATAATTTGTGGAGGAATCTTACCGTAATGGAGTTTTACAATGAAAGGGTGATTCACTTCTGCCAAAATGTCTCTTTCCATTTTTGATCGTACACGATCTCGGACTATAAAAGAAGAGAAATTAAGAATCAGGAAACCTAAAAATTTAAGAGGCACCAACTGTTACATCTGTCTCTGTACTGCCGCATAACCATGAATAACACATTTTAGTTTTGTATGCACATTGCTATCTTCTCACAGAAACAAGAAAACAAAGAATCAAAGGAAAGCAATGGGCTATGCATATGGCTGAAGAAATGTTTTCTGCATTCGCTGCAGCAGTTTCTGGTGCTGAATAAAAAACACTTTAAAAATGGAACAGAAGAAAATGTTTGTGTGAAAAAGGAAAGCAAATTTCTCCCTTCTCTCAGTCTTCTCCTTAAAGGTGGCCACTCATTTAAGCCATGCCATAGATTTTAGTTTTTATGCAATTGTTACACTCTTTTGCTTGGGTGAATTTCTTGCTCATAGTCCCACTAGCTCAATGTGGGCTAGTGACATGAGATGATCTTCTAAAAGTTGGAAGCAACTCTCTAGCTTATAAAATTAGATCTTCATCAGAGCTTGGAGAATGCCACACTCTTCCAGCTGCTTGAAGGTAGCAAAGAGATAAGCAGAAATACTTTTAACCTGATGAACCCGAATAATTTTAACCTGATGAACCAACCTAGGCATAGCAAATTATTTGAGAACACAGAAATGCTGGATCACCCTAACAACTATCATGTCAGGCTACACAGAGAAGCCATTGAAATCCACAAGCATGTGAACAATTTCAACAGAAAGGGGGAAAAAAACATGAAAATGAACAAAATCTGTCTACCAGTACTAAAAAAATCCTCTAGAATTATAACATTAAACAAAAAAAAAAAACCCCTCAAACACAGGGGAACTCCAGACAATAAACAATCAGGAACACCTAATCACCTCTCAACAAAGGAATTTCCCAGGCAGTAACAAGCCACACCTAAAAACTGTCAGGCCATCAAATGTTAATCAAGGTGGCCAATTGAAACATTCACACCTAGCTCCAACAGACAGGGACTCAGGGCGGCTAACCTACCTCCAACAGACAAGCATTCTTTCTCCCACCCGGGATATTCCACAGATATATAAACCCAATTTTCCTAGTTTCCAACAAAGCTCACAACCTCTGAGGATGCCTGCCACAGATGCAGGCAAAACGTCAGGAGGGAATGCTTCTAGAACAGGGCTATACAGACCGAAAAACCTAAAACAACCCAATACTTTTAAGACTGAAATGCAGTGTGAACTTTTAACGGCTGAAAACAAATTATTTCAAGGAAATCTTACTATCTTTCAGGACAATGCTAAGCACACCTTAGCATTGTGTTGGGCTTCGGCCTATTGTGAGCCGCATCGAATCCTTCGGGAGATGCTAGCGGGGTACAAATAAAGTTATAATATAATAAGAATAATAATATACATTTTGTAACAAAATGATGGATCCAATTTCCAAGCAATGGATTTCATAATTGTAAGATATTAGAATTGCACACAAAAAAGTTACAAATGGTTTAATGAGTTATCAAATTATCAAGTTTTACTAATTTTGAGCCAAAAAATAATTCAACAAATGGAGAATATTTCATTGGGCCTTATGCTTCAGGGTTATCATTTTGCGAATGACTACGACTAGAGGCTGTTTATGCACTGGCTGTTTATGCTTGTGGTCTAACAGCAATCTTTTTGAAACTCCATGCACCACCCTTTCACAGGCAGTTCATGACTGTGTAAATGTAGCTATTTCAACTGGGCCTATCTTTTTGAGTTGCGAGTGTCCCTTTCTTTCACAGGCACACTTCCAAGAGGTGGGTACAAGATTATAACATAATTTGAAATATCTATTTCCCTCCATTAACTCTTCATTGTCTCACTTTACATTAAACAAATATAATACAGACAGGAAACATTTTGAAATGTTGAAACACTTTCTGTGCCGGCACAGCAGTGACAGGAGATTTGAATTCCTTTTCTTGCACTGCTAGTTTGCATGAATCTGTTTAAGCCATGCATTTTGCAATAAGGTAGCTTCCCTAAGGTTGCAATCATAGGGCCAACAACTTGGCAATCATCGTTAAGAATCTTTAGACCCGCCCCTTTTCCCAGGGTTTTGGAAGGAAAGGAGGACTTTGTTCAGTATTTTGTGGTGTAAGATCTCTACTCTTTCCATATTATTTCCACCTCTGGTCTCAAATCCTGTGTTAAAAATAATGCTCATGAACTTTGAGAACTGAGGTATAACTGTAAAGTTGCACCTTTATATGCACAGTGTACCAGGTGTCATCCCAGCTATCATTAGATAAAACAGGAAAAGATTCCTGTCTGAGATTCTGGAGAGCTCCTGTCAGTAGCGATATTGAGTTAGATGGTATATTCTGCACACTGAAACTAAGTAATAAAAAAACCCCTAACAATGACTGTAGAGCTATCATTGTGAAGCAATGGTCTTCAATCTTTTATCCTCCACATACTTTAGGAATTCTCTTTACCTATTTATTTATTTATTATTCCTAACCAGCTTTTCCTTGCAAAGACATGAGGCAGCTCCTCCCAAAAGCTCTAGCCATTGTTGCTAGTGGTCAGTTTCTGGAAAATGCAGTCCTAGACATGAAGCCAAGTAGAAAACTGCTGCTTTACAGGAATCCTTCCCCATGTAACGCCATCTCTTCAAAGGGCACAGAGAAATATAAAATGATATCCTTATGTAATAGTACCAAACTCCCACAGAATAACCCAGCACTAGTATTCCTATGGTATTCTTTTGTTCTCGGCAGCAGCAATACGGATCTTATATAATACCACCACATTGTTCTGTTGCTATGAAAATGTCACTTTTCATCGTGAAAGGGAAAGGAAAGGAACAAAGAAGGAAAGGTCTAGAGAGGGTTACAGTTACAAAAAATGAAAACTGGAGAGAGCTCCTAAAAGCTACACTTCCAGAAATCTCCCTATCAAAGGTACAATTACTCCACCTCCCCCCCCCATAAACTCCCTAGCTCTGACAGAATAAATCAAGTGTTTTGTGTGTTTAATTGTACTTTAATCTACTTCTACTGCCCCCGAGACATTCAATGAGCACTAGCACCCATAGCAAGTGAATCTGTCCCTAGGGCCAAAGGTACCTATGGCCATCCATCTGCTGAAACTCAATAGCTGAGCAGGAGACAATTCACAAGATCCTCTGGAGCTACTTATTTATTTATTTATTTCCGTCACTTTTACCCCGCCCTTCTCACCCCCGGGGGGGGGGGGGG